AAAGATTAAGTACTAGGGTGAAAAACCTAAGGTAGTGAATACAGCAGGTAGATAAGATCACACGTGTCCTTGTCAGTGATGCTACACAGTCTTGCCGAATTAGTGAGACTGCAGGAGACTTAGAATTTCAACTGGTTCCACGTCTCCAGTCTCCTGAAGATTTTGCTATCCAACTGGACGAAGGTACTGACATACCTAATTAAGCAACACTCTTGGTTTATGACATATCCATTGAAAGAGAACTTCTTACAGGATTTGCTGTGCTGCGTGACCTTACCTTGAGGTTACCTTGAGGTGCTTCCGGGGCTTAGCGTCCCCGCGGCCCGGTCGTCGACCAAGCCTCCTGGTTGCTGGACTGATCAACCAGGCTGTTAGACGCGGCTGCTCGCATCCAGACGTATGAGTCACAGCCTGGTTGATCAGGTATCCACCTTACCTACACACATGACAGGGTCAGAAATATTCTGAATGTTGAATGACTGTGTCGTTTGAAAATACAAAGTGAACGGGAATAATTACACGGGAGAAACAATTGACGGAGAAGCAAATATAACTAGTAAAAACAGTGGGGGTTGTGATGAAAATATGAGAGGCAGCAGGTAATGCCTCACCTGGGCGTGAGAGGCAGCAGGTAATGCCTCACCTGGGCGTGAGAGGCAGCAGGTAATGCCTCACCTGGGCGTGAGAGGCAGCAGGTAATGCCTCACCTGGGTGTGAGAGGCAGCAGGTAATGCCTCACCTGGGCGTGAGAGGCAGCAGGTAATGCCTCACCTGGGCGTGAGAGGCAGCAGGTAATGCCTCACCTGGGCGTGAGAGGCAGCAGGTAATGCCTCACCTGGGTGTGAGAGGCAGCAGGTAATGCCTCACCTGGGCGTGAGAGGCAGCAGGTAATGCCTCACCTGGGCGTGAGAGGCAGCAGGTAATGCTTCACCTGGGTGTGAGAGGCAGCAGGTAATGCTTCACCTGGGCGTGAGAGGCAGCAGGTAATACTTCACCTGGGTGTGAGAGGCAGCAGGTAATGCCTCACCTGGGTGTGAGAGGCAGCAGGTAATGCCTCACCTGGGCGTGAGAGGCAGCAGGTAATGCCAGACCTGGAAGTCATTGCTTCATCCGCCGTGAAGCTCTGGCTGCTAGAGGCATCCTGACTCTTTGAGAAACATTCTGACTGAAGGTAGTGAACGTTGTCAATCTGATCAAAATAAGTTCATTGAATAGCCGTTTGTTTGAACAACTTTGCTTCGAAATGGATGCCGACCAGTTACACCTGTTGTGTCATACAGAAGTTAGGTGGCTTTCCCATGGAAGAGTTCTAACTGGGTATAATCATCTTAGGATGGTCTTTTCTTTCTCGAAAAAATATATATTATTATATCGTATATATATATATATATATATATATATATATATATATATATATATATATATATATATACATATATATATATATATATATATATATATATATATATATATATATATGTTTATGCAGGCTGTGAGTGTTAGTACTATGCATTTATACACAATATATGTCAGTGGGTCGGGAGGTTATTGCATAAAATTTATCAACTGGCACTCGTATGCAAGAAGCATTTTATATCAAACCATTCAGGATACAAGCCATGTTCCTGACACCATTACAAAACCATATATCATATTACTGGAGTGGTCATGACCACGACATACAAGGTACTTAAAAGAATAAAAGATATGTCAAGAGTGTGAGGAGTGAGTGGTACACACTAAGGGGGGGGGATGGGGTAAGGAAGGAGAGGTATCTTCATGTACGAATACAGATGTAATTGTGAAAGCCATGATGTGCGGGACCCCTCCTGTTATCCCCTGGTGGTCCAGTGGTGGGGACGGGTGGGGACGGGTTCCTCCTCCAGGGGACGGGTGGGGACAGGTTCCTCCTCCAGGGGACGGGTGGGGACAGGTTCCTCCTCCTGGGGACGGGTGGGGAGGTTCCTCCTCCTGGGGACGGGTGGGGACAGGTTCCTCCTCCTGGGGACGGGTGGGGGTTCCTCCTGGGGACGGGTGGGGACGGGTTCCTCCTCCTGGGGACGGGTGGGGACAGGTTCCTCCTCCTGGGGACGGGTGGGGACAGGTTCCTCCTCCTGGGGACGGGTTCCTCCTCCTGGGGACGGGTGGGGACAGGTTCCTCCTCCTGGGGACGGGTGGGGACAGGTTCCTCCTCCTGGGGACGGGTGGGGACAGGTTCCTCCTCCTGGGGACGGGTGGGGACAGGTTCCTCCTCCTGGGGACGGGTGGGGACGGGTTTCCTCCTCCTGGGGACGGGTGGGGACCGGTTCCTCCTCCTGGGGACGGGTGGGGACGGGTTCCTCCTCCTGGGGACGGGTGGGGACAGGTTCCTCCTCCTGGGGACGGGTGGGGACATGTTCCTCCTCCTGGGGACGGGTGGGGACAGGTTCCTCCTCCTGGGGACGGGTGGGGACGGGTGGGGACAGGTTCCTCCTCCTGGGGACGGGTGGGGACAGGTTCCTCCTCCTGGGGACGGGTTCCTCCTCCTGGGGACGGGTGGGGACGGGTTCCTCCTCCTGGGGACGGGTGGGGACAGGTTCCTCCTCCTGGGGACGGGTGGGGACGGGTTCCTCCTCCTGGGGACGGGTGGGGACGGGTTCCTCCTCCTGGGGACGGGTGGGGACGGGTGGGGACAGGTTCCTCCTCCTGGGGACGGGTGGGGACAGGTTCCTCCTCCTGGGGACGGGTGGGGACGGGTGGGGACAGGTTCCTCCTCCTGGGGACGGGTTCCTCCTCCTGGGGACAGGTTCCTCCTCCTGGGGACGGGTGGGGACAGGTTCCTCCTCCTGGGGACGGGTGGGGACGGGTTCCTCCTCCTGGGACGGGTGGGGACAGGTTCCTCCTCCTGGGGACGGGTGGGGACAGGGTTCCTCCTCCTGGGGACGGGTGGGGACAGGTTCCTCCTCCTGGGGACGGGTGGGGACAGGTTCCTCCTCCTGGGGACGGGTGGGGACAGGTTCCTCCTCCTGGGGACGGGTGGGGACGGGTTCCTCCTCCTGGGGACGGGTGGGGACAGGTTCCTCCTCCTGGGGACGGGTGGGGACAGGTTCCTCCTCCTGGGGACGGGTGGGGACAGGTTCCTCCTCCTGGGGACGGGTGGGGACAGGTTCCTCCTCCTGGGGACGGGTGGGGACAGGTTCCTCCTCCTGGGGACGGGTGGGGACAGGTTCCTCCTCCTGGGGACGGGTGGGGACAGGTTCCTCCTCCTTCCTCCTCCAGGGGACGGGTGGGGACAGGTTCCTCCTCCTGGGGACGGGTGGGGACAGGTTCCTCCTCTAGGGGACGGGTGGGGACGGGTTCCTCCTCTAGGGGACGGGGGGGACGGGTGGGGACGGGTGGGGAGGTTCCTCCTCTAGGGGACGGGTGGGGACGGGTTCCTCCTCTAGGGGACGGGTGGGGACAGGTTCCTCCTCTAGGGGACGGGTGGGGACGGGTGGGGACGGGTGGGGACGGGTTCCTCCTCTAGGGACGGGTGGGGACGGGTTCCTCCTCTAGGGGACGGGTGGGGACAGGTTCCTCCTCTAGGGGACGGGTGGGGACAGGTTCCTCCTCTAGGGGACGGGTGGGGACAGGTTCCTCCTCCAGGGGACGGGTGGGGACAGGTTCCTCCTCCCGGGGACGGGTGGGGACGGGTTCCTCCTCTAGGGGACGGGTTCCTCCTCTAGGGGACGGGTGGGGACGGGTGGGGACAGGTTCCTCCTCTAGGGGACGGGTGGGGACCGGTTCCTCCTCCAGGGGACGGGTGGGGACAGGTTCCTCCTCCTGGGGACGGGTGGGGACAGGTTCCTCCTCCAGGGGAAGGGTGGGGACGGGTTCCTCCTCCCGGGGGGGACGGGTTCCTCCTCCCGGGGACGGGTGGGGACGGGTTCCTCCTGTAAAGAGTGAAGATGAATTAGGATTAAACAGCGTTTTATATATAAATTTACAGTATTTAGTCAAAGAATTAAACTTATTATAAAGTCAGAGGAAGATTCAAGGTCGTTATCTTGATCTGTTCTGGAAACGTGTAACTGCCATTGAGTGTAGCTAAATATACACGTTTTAAGTCTTGGGAAAGTCTCGGAAAAAGACTGCGACACTAGCGACCAACTAAATACTTCAGATAATGGTAAAACTATTTGGATTTACCATTATTCCATTTTAAATCCATTTGGATTAATCTATATTAAAATTAAAATTAAATCTATAGGATTTGGAAGATTTGTTAATAAGATAAATACATTATTTCATTCAACTACACTTTCACCCATTCCTCTCATATTCACTCTCACTATCCACTGCTCCTCTCATTCACTCGTACTTATTGAATATTTTTTTATGCCTACAAGATAGCGCTGTTAGCTCTTGGACCCCGCCTTTCTAGCCGCCGGTTATTTAAACAATGACTCCGGACCTTCTTCCCTATCATCTCTACCTTTAAGATTGTGAATGGAGTTTTATACTTCTACATGCAGGCGATGAGTCACAATAACGCGGCTAAAGTATGTGTTTATACTCATAATCGACTTGAGAATGGTCCAGGACGGACCGAAACGTCGTCGTCCCTTCACCTTCGAGTGTGTGGTCTGGTCAACAAATTTGCTTCTACAACCTGCTCCTTGAGTTCATCCCACTTCCCCACTGCTCTTACTCTCATCTGAGTCTCAAGCTTCCGTCCAGGTGCCAAAGGTGTTGACAGGTTCGCTTTCTATCAAGAGGAAATTATATATTTTATGTTCCAGGGAGCAACGAGTTCAAATGGCATACGTCATTGATGTATTGAGTTGTTATGTTTGTTTAAACTATTGTGGCAGGAAGGGAGTTTATTTTTATAAGTATGATAATGTACCAATTTAATATATTCTTTCACTTATACCTATGAGGCAACAAGCTAACATAAACCTTTATTATTCCTGATGGGTCAAATTATCATAGAATGTTTGCTTACATTGATGGAACAGTGAGTTTGTGTATTTCTTTATTTACACTGATGAATTGCTCTTCTCCTTATACTGCTGAAGCAGGGAGACAGCATGCCCCTTAAACTGCTGACGCAGGGAGTCAGCATGCCCCTTAAACTGCTGACGCAGGGAGTCAGCATGCCCCTTATACTGCTGACGCAGGGAGTCAGCATGCCCCTTATACTGCTGAAGCAGGGAGACAGCATGCCCCTTAAACTGCTGACGCAGGGAGTCAGCATGCCCCTTATACTGCTGAAGCAGGGAGACATCATGCCCCTTAAACTGCTGACGCAGGGAGTCAGCATGCCCCTTAAACTGCTGACGCAGGGAGTCAGCATGCCCCTTAAACTGCTGACGCAGGGAGTCAGCATGCCCCTTAAACTGCTGACGCAAGGAGTCAGCATGCCCCTTAAACTGCTGACGCAGGGAGTCAGCATGCCCCTTAAACTGCTGACGCAGGGAGTCAGCATGCCCCTTAAACTGCTGACGCAGGGAGTCAGCATGCCCCTTAAACTGCTGACGCAGGGAGTCAGCATGCCCCTTAAACTGCTGAAGCAGGGAGTCAGCATGCCCCTTATACTGCTGACGCAGGGAGTCAGCATGCCCCTTATACTGCTGACGCAGGGAGTCAGCATGCCCCTTATACTGCTGACGCAGGGAGTCAGCATGCCCCTTATACTGCTGACGCAGGAAGTCAGCATGCCCCTTAAACTGCCGACGCAGGGAGTCAGCATGCCCCTTATACTGCTGAAGCAGGGAGTCAGCATGCCCCCTTAAACTGTTGACGCAGGGAGTCAGCATGCCCCCTTAAACTGCTGACGCAGGGAGTCAGCATGACCCCTTAAACTGCTGACGCAGGGAGTCAGCATGCCCCCTTAAACTGCTGACGCAGGGAGTCTGAAGCTGAAGTCCGCAGACTTCATCGCTTTTAATTAAGATTAAAAAAGTTGTGCCCGAACCCCGTATGCGGCCCCCCCCCCCTCCTCCTCCCCCCACAAAAAAAGACACAAAATCAATAAAAATTATTCTGTTACAAGATAGCCGCAATATTGATCTGTTTCCGGTATGTTGGTGGGGGCTGTATTTGTGGGGCTATGTTGGTGGGGGCTTTGTTGGTGGGGCTATATTTGTGGGGGGCTATGTTGGTGGGGGCTATGTTGGTGGGGGGCTATGTTGGTGGGGGGCTATGTTGGTGGGGGCTTTGTTGGTGGGGCTATATTTGTGGGAGGCTATGTTTGTGGGGGCTATGTTGGTGGGGGGCTATGTTGGTGGGGGGCTATGTTGGTGGGGGGCTATGTTGGTGGGGGGACTATATTGTTGGAGGGCTGTATTGGTGGAGGTCATTTTGTTAATGATAATGGACAGTGGACATGTTGATGGGAATCTAGCTGGTGAATGTCATGTGTTTTATCGGATAAAAGTCAACTTGGTAAGGACGGTCTTCGACTGGTTAAAGCCGGTGTCCATATTCTTAACAGATCACAAAGAAGAACTTAAGCGTTCTACTCATTCATTTAGAATCAAGGGGTCTCCAAAGTGGTCAATATTGACCCCCACCAAAAGTCGGTCAAAACGAGTGATCAGTCAAGTATGTAGGGGTCATTAATGGTGGTTATAAATTTGGGTCAATTAATATCTGTCATTAGCCATAATCACATGATACTGCCTGACCGCAATAATCTCTCATATGAGCGAATTGCTTCGATTTAATATAGTCAAGTAAACTACTTTTACTAATACCGGATAACGAATATATTTTAACCGTTTTTTTTCAAATACACGAGAGCAATAATTCTTGTCCCCACAGTTTCTTGACGTTGGGAAATCTTAGCAGGACGTGCTGAGGTACGTGCGGAATTACAGTTCTCGTACCAAGCGTACGACCCCACCTCAAACTGTGGGGTCGTACCAAGCGTACGACCCCACCTCAAACTGTGGGGTCGTACCAAGCGCACGACCCCACCTCAAACTGTGGGGTCGTACCAAGCGTACGACCCCACCTCAAACTGTGGGGTCGTACTTTGAGGAATTTGAGTCCTGTCATCTGCCGTACATTTGAACCAAAATGGTACAATTTGAAGCGGTATTGTGGTCCTTTATTATAAAAAAAAAAATCTATATTTCGGTACATTTTGCACAGAAGCTGTATTATTTCTGTGCCACAGGGAAACTTACATTTTCCTCTACATTACGAAGAAATTTGTTAGATTAAACCAAGAAACATTGTGTTTGGGTCTTATGTGTAGGTGGTATAACGGTGAAAATTCTGCACTCAAAATATTAAACAAACAAATGTGATTACAAACTACTAGTCATTAACTATTATGCTATAAGATAGTTTAGTCATTCATACTTATAAATCACTATGTAAGAACGACAGGCCACAAACTTCGCGAAGTTGACATTTCCGTCTTTATAGACACAAACAGACCTAAGATAGTCCGGAAATAGACTATACACCTGAGACAGTATCGTAATTATGAAATAATACGTTTCTATCTTCCAAAAAGGGGAAAACTGGATAGTTTTTAGGACCTCTTTATCTTAAGTGTACAATTAATAACATTAACTTCAAAAGAAAAAAGTAACAAATTATATTAGGGAAATTGTATTTCCTTAATACATATATATATATATATATATATATATATATATATATATATATATATATATATATATATATATATATATATATATATATATATATATATATATATATATATATATATATATATATATATATATATATATATATATATATATATATATATATAATGTGTGTGTGTGTGTCAATCACGAAGAAATTAAGACGTGATGAACTTTATGTGATAAAGTTCATCTTCAGATCCTTTCAATGTGACATTTTCAGGGCCTTCTGAAGATGTATTATTAAATACGAAAGTACTACAGGAAATTCCTGTCTTAATCCCTCCTTCGTGGTTAACACAAAGGTTACCTCTATTTCCGCACTTGGTCAACTTAGTAGGAATCAACAAACATTTACCAAGACCACAAACAATTGTCCAAAGTTACATCTACACACTAAATCGATTCTGGGGATTTTTACAAAAACAAAAGAAAATAAATAAAATATAAACTTCCATTAAACATTTGGAAAAAACAAATATTACAAAAAAATTAATATGCAACCAATTTTTTATATTCAATAGTCGACACGGAAAAGAAAAAGGAAAAAAAAATATCACACGCAAAATTATTTCCTGGAAGAAAACAAAAACTAGGCAAGGGGGAACTAAGGAAATTTGATAACATCTAAACAGTATACAGTTGCACCGCCGACACATTTGTTGGTCAATAAAGGCAGCATAGCTCTTTGATATACAGTCACCGTTATCCTCAAGTCAAACCGGCCACTCCCACATGAGCCCAAAATTCTTAGATTAGACTCATGAGAAGGAGTGATCCAGGTGACAAGAGTGATCCTTGACGTCAGAAAATGTTGGAACTACCGTCCTGGGTCTCCCCAGACACACACCTCACAACGATGTGCTACTTCAGAAAATGTTGGCTTTAACAACAGCAGTTTTAACCTGTCCTAAAAACCGGCCCCTTTTATGCTCCAATATCCTGATATTTTAACGTTCCCGAGAGAACTCCTAATATACCAGCATTACAGCTGGAACAGTTGTATGAATACACGCTATTGGAGCTGAAGTGAGTAGGCATCTTGTCCTTTAAAAATTGTATTACGACCCAATACTATTCACATTGACGAAAATAGATCTAAAATCAACTTGAGGATTGCGAGTTTCGTCACACGAGTTGCGAGGAAAGGCTGCGTGAAATGCACCTCACGACACTGGAAGACAGAAGAGTAAGGGGAGACATGATCACTACCTACAAAACTCTCAAAGGAATTGACAGGGTAGATAAAGATAAACTTTAACACTGGTGGTACGCGAACAAGGGGAGACAGGTGGAGACTGAGTACCCAAATGAGCCACAGGGACGTTAGAAAGAACTTTTTCAGTGCCAGAGTAGTTAACAGGTGGAATGCATTAGACAGTGATGTGGTGGAGGATGACTCAATACACAGTTTTAAATGTAGATATGATAAGAGTCCAATTGGGTCAGGAACCTTCACACCAGTTGACTGACAGTTGAAAGGCGGGACCAAAGAGCCAGAGCTCAACCCCCGCAAGCACAACTAGGTAAGTACAATTAGGTGGGTAAGTATACACACACACACACACACACACACACACACACACACACACACACACACACACACACACACACACACACACACACCGTCCGCACGCAGCAAGCCCTCAACTAACGGCATGAACATTGACAAGTAAGACTTACGTATGTGAGGGTCACGGACCAGGTACTGCTGGGATGTGTCCAGATGCTCGCGCCCCTTAATTACATCAACTGCCGCTTGTTAATACACAATTTAAAAAAAAAGAAGGGCATCCAGGGTTTGCAGAGGGGGAGGGGGGAGGGCAAGGGAAGTTGGTGGGGAAGTGGGAAGAGAAGTTGGGGAAAAGGAGTAAAGAAAGTAGGGGAGCAAGAGAAGTTGTAGAAAGTGGATGGAGGTTAGAGGTCAAAATTAAAGGTTTTGGGGAGGTATAGTGAGGTAAGTTAGGGGAGGAGGTTGATGTCGGAGGATGTAAATATAGTGGGGGTGAGGGGGGGGGAGGGAGATGTTAGGAAGGGGTTAAGAGCAGGAGTTAATGAATGTAACCCGAGGGGGGGGGGAGGGAGATGTTAGGAAGGGGTTAAGAGCAGGAGTTAATGAATGTAGGAGGGGGGGGGGAGGGAGATGTTAGGAAGGGGTTAAGAGCAGGAGTTAATGAATGTAACCCGAGGGGGGGGAGGGAGATGTTAGGAAGGGGTTAAGAGCAGGAGTTAATGAATGTAACCCGAGGGGGGGGGAGGGAGATGTTAGGAAGGGGTTAAGAGCAGGAGTTAATGAATGTAACCCGAGGGGGGGGGTTAGGAGGGAGATGTTAGGAAGGGGTTAAGAGCAGGAGTTAATGAATGTAACCCGAGGGGGGGGGGGAGGGAGATGTTAGGAAGGGGTTAAGAGCAGGAGTTAATGAATGTAACCCACATGTGATTTGACCCTTCTCATCTGCTCTCCTTCCTTTACCTGCCTTCGTGTGTCAACTCATAGGGAGCTGTATCTGCTTTGACTCATGTTTCATACTTGACTTTTCCCATTTACTACCCATCACCTCATCTCGCCTTACCTGCTCTTAACATCACCTCTCATCTCACCTCATCTCCTCTAACATCATCTCTCACTTCACTTCCTCTAACATCATCGCTCATCTCACCTCATCTCCTCTACCATCTTCTCTCACCTCACCGCTCTCTTTCTCACTTGCTACTTGACATGGGTCCAGGGCGGGCTGAAGCCTCGTCGTTTACCTTCCTTATGTATTCGATTGTTTACCAGTCCCGTTACTGAGTCTGGCTCAGTAGCACAGGCGGTAATACGTCATCACTGGAGTGTGAGGGGGAAGGGTCTACCTGTCCCGCGTATTCGCCGTGTATGGCCAAGAGCTCACTGCGTGTATAATTAGGTTGTATGTTTAGTTAGTTCAGCCTGCAAATTATGGACTAGTTAGGCACCTCTCTCGGGCAGGGTAATGAGCGAGCCATGTTGTAAAGAAGTTTTTCGATGAGGAAATTTTGCGCAAGGTAACTTAGTTTAAAATTTAATGATATTATAGAGGTAATTTGGGAAAATTACACTCGGCAACTTGGCAATATAATAACAGTAATGGACATAGTTTCTTACAACTTTTCTCTTCAACAATTTTAGTAAG